GCAGGGGCCATCCTATAGATCCTTCCCTTTGGGGTCTTACTCCCTGGAATGATTTCTATAGCGTGGACGACTTCCCTATCAACAACTCCTGAGGGCTCTTCGAACAGATCAGGGAACTTAGCAACGACGCGTTCTATCTCTGGGGGTGTTTTAACGGCCTCCCCCTTTTCAGAGACATAAACAAGGTACATACCCTCCTCTTGGTTTTGCTTATAGTAGTTGTAGAACGCTGATGCGCACAAGTAGCCATAGGTATCTATAATACTACTGGCCTTGAACTTGGTCAATCTGACAGTTCGGCCATCGGGCAACTTGTGTTTGAGCACCTTCTTATCCCAGTCGAGCTGGGGCTTAGCAACTTCGAGGTAGTGCATGCCTAACAGCATATCGAATGGCAAGTCGTCGCTAACCAAGAACGAGATCTTATGGTTAAGCTCACCTCCTCCATAGGAGAAGGTACAGACTACGTCCTTGATGTAGTCCGTTACAATCATGCGCTCCTTGTTGGCCAAAGTAGATGCTACTGGTCTACTAAGGTGCCGTACCCGGTCCTGTAGGTGCAGCCTTTCCAAACAGTCCCGACTTATATAATTCCGCGTGGAGCCTATGTCTATGAAGGCACCACATTTGCGGCCTCCTACATCGACCTCCACCACGAAATGTTTCCCTCTAGGACCTTTCCTCAGCGCCACCCAAGTCTCGCGAGGGTCCTTGTTTGACCACTCACTCTCCAAGTCCTCTAAGGCTTCAGACACATCTAACGTACAAAGCATATTTTGGTCTAGTTGTGTCTGTGGGGTGACTAAGGGGTCATTAGCCTTGGCCTTGTCATGAAGTGGGGAGGGTATCAATCCCACTTCATCTTGAGTCGAAGCGACTAATACTTCCACTGGCCCTACGCGTTTCCCGAGCTAGAAGCCTGGGAGTAGGTTGCCCCCATCTTTAGAGTTATCTTCTGCGTAACCTTAGCGTTCTGGCACTTGTACTGCGAGTGTCCGTACTCCCCGCAGTTGATACAAGCACCACGCGTTCGGCGGTCACGCCACACGTCTTGATCAAGACCTACCTTTACCCACTCAGCCTGTTTGGTCTGATTGGAGGCGGCCTTCCCTTGACCCCTAGGCTGGCCCTTCCCTCGGCCTGCCGACCTGCCGCCTTAGTCTTAACTACCGCGGCGAGGGTGCTACCCTCAGCTACCTCCTCGTCGTCAAACTCTGTATAGTCCATCAGGTCGGTGAGCTCGTCGATCTCAGTTTGAGTCCCATCAGACTCCACCATCATCAACTTAGCCCCCTTCTTCTTCCACTCCTGAGGACTCTTCTTCTTCTTTGAATCATTCCCTGAGGTGGGTTGAGCATTGCCTAGCGTGGCTTCTAAGTCTAAGGCTTTCCTAGACAATGTCTCAAATGAGTGGTACTCGGTGAGTGCCTCACTAGCCAGCAAGTTCCTGATGTTCTCTGGGAGACATCTGACAAACGTCGTCAATAGGAACTGGTCGCTGTAGTTAATGCCTGGGACGAGGATCAGGCTCTCAACGGTAGTCGTAAGCTCTCTAACCGATTTGAACTTTCGTTGGTCCAGTTTGTTTATGGTATCAGTGACCTTTTGTGCCTCCTGTGGGTTATGCCATCGAGCTTCTACCATTTCCATGAACTGGTCTAGAGTCAAAGACTTGGCCCAGTCCGCCATGCGTCGCCCGTACCCGGCCTTGATAACTACACCATCTAACCATTTGGCTGYCTTACCCTCGAGGTAAGACGCCACAGTTACCACTTCATCCTCTAGCAAGGTCCTTTTTGCCTTCACCTAAACCGGGACCGTTCTCAACCAAGTGTTGAGTTCTTCGTCCTTTCTTTCCCCTGAGAAGGGAAGAGGCGGTTTCATTGGGGKCTTAGGGKACCAATGACCTTGCTGCTGTCCCCGTGGAGGAACAGATTGTTGTGGTGATGTAGCAATCACCGCTGGACCCGAAGAAGAAGACGCAACAGTCTGTGCTGCTGCTGCAGACGTACCACTAGGCTGTGTACCAGCTTGAACTGGAAAGGGGCCTGACATCGCCGATAACGGCAGCGGCGATTGTGCTGGTGGCCTAAATCCTGGCCTTGTCAAAATGTCCAGGATCTGGTCCAAAGTGCTCTGCATGAAGTCCAACCTGCTGTCAACGTGCGCATGCAGTGACAGCATGTTGTTCCTCAACACTTTCATGGGCTCATTCATTCCAAAGTCGTCCATGCCCTCTAACTCAGCCTTGTCAGCCGCTAACGTTTCAAGCCTGGCTGTTCTATTCTTTATCTCTTTTTCTCTATCGGTAGCTTCTTTCAGTTCGTTCTCTAATTGCGCACGGATCCTTTCGACCTGCTGGAGCTCCCTCATCTCCCTTTCGCGAGGAGTCAACGGGCTGAACTGCGAGCCCGCCATTTGACTTGTAGACTGTCTAGAACCGGATGAACTGGAAGTGGAGGCGGACCCTGTTGGCATTCCAAACTGGGGTCCAGACGAGAACGCAACAGAAGTTGCAGCGGAGGATGATGCTGAAGAAGTCATGGCTGCTGCCCTGGCTGCTGCTGCAGCCTGTTCCCTAGCTGCAACGTTTGCTGCTGCTCTCGATGCTGCGGAAGCACGGGCTCTGCGTTCGGCACGAAGCCGTCTTTCTTCTCCCTCGTCTAGGGTCCTGAACACGTACGGGATCCTACTTGATCTTGCACGTGTTAGTCTAC